AAGTATGAGTGATTAAAAAAAAGAGTCACAAAAAATGTCCATATAGGCCGGGCATGGTGGCTCACACCTGTAATCCCAGCACTTTTGGAGGGCAAGGCAGGCAGGTCACAAAGTCAGGAGTTCGAGACCAGCCCGGTCAACACGGTGAAACCCTGTCCCTACTAAAAATACAAAAATTAGCCAGGCGTGGTGGCACATGCCTGTACTTTCCCAGCTACTTGGGGGCTGAGGCAAGAGAATCGCTTGAACCCGGGAGACAGAGGTTGCAGTGAGCAGAGATGGTGCCACTGCACTCTTGCCTGAGCAACAGAGCGAGACTCTGTCTCAAAAAAATTTTTTTTAAAAATGTCCTGACCGGGCGCGGTGGCTCACGCCTGTAATCCTAGCACTTTGGGAGGCTGAGGTGGGTGGATCACGAGGGTCAGGAGATCGAGACTATCTTGGCCAACATGGTGAAACCCCGTCTCTACTAAAAATACAAAAAATAGCCGGGCGTGGTGGCGTGCACCTGTAGCCCCAGCTACTCGGGAGGCTGAGGCAGGAGAATCGCTTGAACACGGGAGGCGGAGGCTGCAGTGGGCTGAGATAGTGCCACTGCTCTCCAGCCTGGGCAACAGAGCGAGACTCCATCTCAAAAAATAAATAAATAAATAAACAAAAATAAAAATAAATGTCCATATAAAATTTTGAGTCACGCCCTACGTCCATAAGTGAAACCAGGATCTTCTCAAATCACTGTTTCAAAAAATTCTCATGACCCACAATTATAGACTCAAAGTGGCCTAATTTAGAAAGCCACCTTTGACATACCTATAACTCCTCTACAAAGCAGCGGTTTCCACTGGACGCCACTAAGACCTGCAGCGAACAGGACAGGCCAAGTCTTACCTCCTGTGTAGAGAAAGGAGCCAGACAGGCCTCCAAAGTAGATGAGAGCCAAGTGTTCCAGTTTCAGAGGGGATAGGCAGTAGAGGCAAGCGGCACAGACGCAGCCCAGCGTGTAGAGGAAGACTCCGAACCGGACGACATCCTGGGGCTCCAAGATTCGGTCCACAAGTGTCCTGTCATCACTCTTTTTGTGGTCAATGCCCTTGGAAAAGTCATAGTAAGTGTTGACCAAATTACCGGCCCCGTGCACAGCCAGGACAGCCACGGCACAACCCACCAAGAGCCTGGGATCCAGGACACCGTGGGATCTGTAGGCAAGGGCACTGCCCAGGGCCACCGGTGTGAGTGAGGCACTGAAGCTCCAGGGCCTCAGGGCCAACACGTAGGAGGCGCACTTCTGCCTCCAGGAGCGCTGGGGGAGCCTATCTTGCTCGGGACAGTCGTTCCCCAGCGGTTCCCTGTCCCCAGCCTTGACAGTCTCTCCCGACAGGATGTTAATCTTCTCCCCCAGGACCTGAGAGGCCGCCATGGAAGCTCCACGTGGCTGTAGTAAACTCTAAAAGTGAGCCACGCACAGTGACCGCCCGGGAAGGAGGAAGGACGGGGCGGGGCAGCCGGGCCTGACCTTCCTTCGGTTCCGCCCCAGGACAGGGCTGGTGTGGCGGCAAGGTACGGGGGCAGCAGCAAGCGGGTCTTACACCCCAAGAGGTCCAGCGGCGCCGCCCCTACTACCTGTCACCTGGGTGAAGTCTGTCTCCGACCCCCAGCCCCGCGTTAGAGCCCACGGCCGAGCCCCGGCCACCCTCTTCAGGCCGC